GCACAAAGCGAACAAATCCTAAACTATTTAGAAAGATCGGTGACGTGTGAATATCTGCCACCTGTCTCATTATTTTGTCATTTTGATAGGTAGTGTACAAAACAAACATATGATGTGATCATTCAGTACAATGATCCGAAATAGAATTAAACATCCGTAATGACTTTTAACTTTCATTTTCGAGTAAGTACTTTTTTGGCAATCGCTACATTGTTCACATTTCACGCGAGTGTTTGAACTTTACAAAACAAGCACTGCCTTACATGGACAGTTGCTCGTTTCGTGAAATACTCTGTATGGAATTGCGGCTGAGATCTGGTATACACAGCTCGATTCAAAATTGGAGTGACGAGTGAATCATGTGTGATTTTAAAATGACTCCACGGTTAAAATACGACTAGGTGGGAAGATCACATCATTGCCGCATTCTAAAAAGTACAAGTACATGCAAACTAAAAAGAGGCCAAATTATTGTATTTATAAACTTGCAAAGTAAATCGCAACTTTCACATTTATATCGATTCCCAGGTCGCTTTATATTGTATTGCCTCATGTGTAACACTAATACTCAATAGAGCCGTATCGTTTACAAGTTATTGACCATTGGCGACTTACGTAGACGGAATAATTGCGTTCGTACGGTACTGTACTTAAAAAAACGGGGTTAAGCAAGGGCGACAGACAGGATTGACAACTGCACTGCACGAGTGGAAAGAATTTCCCAGAGGCTAGTGTCCAGAAATACGCATCTAAGCACGCAGATGTAATTAGTTTTCTTCTTTTTACATTCCAGAAAGGTTAGAAATATTATCGTCTGACGAAGAGCGCGGGTAAACTAAAAATATTCCTGAAAGGCATTCGAAAAATTTTATACGCTTTTAATACTCTTTCTTTTTTAAATAATGTAACCTTTTCCGGATCAACGCGTGTGGTTGCGGTTGCGAGTATACTCTCACTACTGAAAGAAAAGGACGTGTATTACACGCACTGTATTTACTAATTTGCAGCGGAAGTTGGAATTCTGTCTGGGAAACTGCAGGTTTACGAAGCTTTCGCAAGAGTATTACCATTCATGACTGGCGATTAGGATTTCGTCTCGTGTGTAGTTTCTCACGTCACCACCGCAGTTCCTCTTCAAGAACTGAGCATTTTTAGCATAACACAAAATTAATATGCAATGAGTATGCCTCTTGGGTTTCTACATCTCTCCAGCCGAATGTGAGCATTTGAGCAAACAATTTATGGTGACAGTACGTACTGCTATTCGCGAAGCGCATGGGCAGCAACGGGACAAACTTACCTGTGAGGGATAAGAAGAAGATGAATGTGAACGAGAAATACCTCTTGGTGGCAGCGACAAAAGGTGACGACTTTGAGAAGAAATCTAGAAGCACCTACCAAACTCTCACGAACGCAGCCAGGAAGCTATATCAAGCAAAAAGTAAACATGAAGCTATACGTCGGCAATGAACAGAAAATATATGCGCCAAAGTGACCGAAATTGTCTGCAACCCCATCACGGTGGCATTTAGCATTAAAAGTAGAAATGCTAGGACCAATGAGGGAGCAGAGGCGGTCTCAATCATTATTGAAGAAAGGAAAAACTATACTGACCTCCTGAATGGTGCGCGAAAAGCCCTTGGACGACAAAAGAGAGAGACTCTCTTAAAGGGTTACAAAACACAAAAGATAGTGATGGATAAGGACCTGGGACAGGTTCAAGAAAAATTGAAAGGGGCTGTGCCCGAGTCAGAGCAGATGGTAACTACTGATAAATGGGCCTCACGATGGCCAGATTCCAGTGGCCATAATTCTTGAAAAAATGCGCGAAAAATGCATGTCCTAAAAAAAACGACATATCGAACTTCAAAACTGAGTCAGAGGAGAAAAAGTTGACGAGAAAGTGTCGATTGTTTATAATTCATAAAAATCGCTTCAAATAAATCGAATGGAAATTAGCGAATTCCGTTTTTTCTAGTGAATTCCGTTTTTCCCAGTTATCTCCGAAAGTGTTCGGAATTTCTTTACTTTTTAAATAAGCATCATTACAATCCATCCCAAAATAAACAACTTTGCCTCCATGTAATCCTCCAATTTGGGACACCCTGTACATGTGAATTTGTCATTGAAGAGACGTTGAAGCAAATCCCCCCCCCCCTCCCCCCACTTGGCACGCTCGATATTGACTGATATATGATAACGAAAACTCAGCTTATCGAATGTAAATAGATCGGCATACTATACGCGAAAGAGCACAGTGTCACATCAACGAAAAAAGAAGTTTTAAAAAAAACCTATGGACCTGACGCTAGAAAGAGATTGGAGTTGTGGGGGGGGGGGGGATAACTGGGGGTTGCCCGACCCGAAATGGAAAGGCCACTGGGTGTTGCCCGACCCGAAATGGTAAGGCCTCAGCTTCGCCACTGGAATATCCGCTTCCTAGTGATAGCCTCTCCGCCGGTATTCCATTAGTTTCCGATGCCTCCATCCTCTGATCTCGTTTCCTTTTTTCTTGTTTCTCCCTTCCTTATTGTTGTCCTCTCCCTGCCTCCCTTCTGTCTCCTCCGCCTCCTCCTCCACTTGGCAGCTTGTGCTTATTTCTGATTCTTCCTCCACCTCCAGTACTCGTCTGTTTCTTTCTTCATTTTGTGTTTGCCTCTGCTCCAGACATATTTGTTTGAAATTTGAACCAAAGATTCTTCTAGTAAAAGCCAACTTATCACATATTTTAAACATCAGGGGTGCGCATGCGCAGACTGAAGTTTCTTATTTAAGAGAATATTTATGCTTTCACTTATTTTCCTTTGTACACATACATAGGCCGTTATATGACCTTTTGGGAAGTACTGATCATTTCATGGAAAATGCGCTAAGTTACTCGCCCTAAGGTAAAAACCTTTTTTTCATTTTTTTTAAAATGTTATAGCACATAAGAGAGTGCGTATTTATTTTATTGGTAATTTATAGCGGCAATGTGGAATTTATTGCTGCACCCATTTGAGATTTTTTTAAAGGGAGTGCATGACCTGCAAACGGGTAAAATTTATTTAAACTCGAAATAAATTAGGACAGTTTTATTTCTAGCTTATTGCTAACAAATTACACACTCATTCAACATTAAACCCGCAGTGGGGCAATAACTTCTTTTATGACAAATTACTGTTCTGTTAGGGGTAAGTGGCCTCTCCCACCATCTCAATTTAATTAAAAATTTATCACTAATGCAATTCATTCAAAACTTGTAGTTTTTATTAAGCAAATAAACAAATTGTTTCCAACGATACATTATCAAAATCTATTGTAATTTATTTATTTCAGCTAATTCTTGAAAAAATCTACCAAATAGGCAGAGCAATAAATGCCACACTGCAGCAGTAAATTAGCAATAAATAAGCTCTTTATTATGTGGAATTACATTTAACCAAATACTGAGGGTGCTAATAAATTAACGGACATGGTGTATCTTTTCCTTCTATATCACGGGCGCACATTTACCTAATGAGCCATAATTTACTTTCCCTAATTTAAAACGTTGTGTAAACGCTTTTAGCAGTATGGCATCTTTGTTATTAATTATTTCAATTTATCCCGCTCGCTCATACCACGCCCTTCCAATACATTAAACGAGCTATTCCGTAAAATATTACATAGTAGGTAACTTGCTTCATTTTAAAGTATGTCTAAATATGTCCTTCGGGATTATTTAGCGCACTTGTACCGTAACCTTTTCCAACCGGTGTATGTAAATAAATACCAAGAGTTCAACAAAATGTCTAAACTATTATTACATCTGCATGCGGTCGTTGTTTATTATAAACTTTTGTTTTATGTTGTAAAGATCAGTCTCGGATTCGCGTCTTTTAACCTGCAAAACAGTAGAAAGTGGTATAATATGCACGGAATGGCACAATATTATGCAACGAGTTATTAGGCAATTTAGTTGTATAAATGCATTTTGATGTCTTTATTTACCTACTAAAGAACGTGAAACTTCTTCGATACACTTTTACTTCTTGTGGTTCGCAATAGCACGATTGACCGCAAGAATGGCTTAGATTCTTACGTTGGAAAATAATGCCTAACTTTTTTTGTTAATTAAGAGAATAACACGGATTATAGTTAATTAAGTATACTTATTTTGGTAGCACCACTAGCAGAATATAATTACACTTTAGAACTTTTTTGTATTCGAATTGTTTATTTAATAGATTCACCAATGTGTGATTTATAATTAGAAGACTACTGGCCCTAAGCAACTACCTTGTGGAACACCAACATTAACGAGTAACATCTTGTTGACATATAAAGGGTTTAGTTTAATACCTTCAATGAGCTGTCACATGCTTCAATTTCTTTGAGGGAGATCAAACCTAATTATATGAGCATATTTATTCAGCTTGGAACGTCCGTTAGTTATCATTTCCAAAATTCCATTATCACAGCAATTATTCTCATTGCACCAAAAAATAACAGGAGAAACTATCATGAAATTAATAACCGTGCCCATCGTCTCCGATGCATGGACGCGAGGTCGTTATTAAACACTTAAAGACACATCAGAATTGCCTCAAGGATAGGCGATCATTAAAAGAATTAATGTTTCCAAAAAATATAAATTTAAACATTGGAATGCACTTTACGATACCGAGAATAGGCACGGGAATCACGACAGGGTGCGGTACTCAATTATATCAATTGTCCAAATAAATTATCCTCCAGCCAGCTGTCTCTTGTTCAGTTTTCAGTCATTCTACGTTTATTATTATCTATTATAAAATATCCTTCACGGATCAGCTGTTAATATCAAACAGATGCAAATGGAATGCCGTACGTGTAATTGGAGACACGCTCCACTTCTATTTCAAATCGTTTTGAAAAGTTCTCGGTAATGATTTACAAACCAGAGAGAGCGCTTTGGTTCATTAATTCGAATCAAGTTTTTGATTGAATTTGCAGTCGTAGTGTGATTGTGATGCTAAAGATTTTTTTTATTGTTTCAGACACGTTTTTGTAACAAGAAAGAAGCCAACATTTTTTCGCCAGGTATGTAAACAGTACAGAATATCACACAAATGGAATTATGAGCACTACTTGTAATCGGAGTGCGACTTTTGGCCCTCTGATGAACATCATCTCTCAATTTGGGAAAGATTTCTCTTAGACCGGGAGATGGTGACACTTTTTGTGGTGTGATTTGCTACAAGTATGGCGACCATTCAAAGGTTTAATTAAGTAGTCCTCAAAACGAAAATGGTGCTAACTCTCTGGGAGTGGGGCCGTTATTGCGTGACGATTTTTTAAACATGTCGTAAAATTTAATGATTTTGAACAATTTGCTACACAAAATTCTTTGGATTTTCTGGTAGTCGGTGACAAAGCAAATGACGGAAACGAAATGCCATACTTTTCCGGTGGGCCTTATAGCCCACCATACTCATTTGAACGTGTCGATTGTTTGTTTTTTTTTGGGTGATTTGCTACAAGCTCATTTTTTATGAGCATCAAGTATTCAATCAGTCATTCACAAAAATCAACCTGCCATACCGCAGCGACGGGCCCGCATAGCCGCCATACCGGCACAAAGATGTCATTTTTGTTAATAATTTTGGGTGATTTGCTACAGTATGGCATTTGGATTTTCCGAAAGTTCATGCTCCACTTTGATCCATGATATATGTGCCATACTCGTCATGAAGGCTTAAGGTGGCCCCATACTCGAAAATCTGTTTTCCTAAAACATCTTTGTGCTATAACTGGGACAAGCAAGGAACCTTGAAAACGATCTTCTCGCGAGCTTCAGAATAGTGTATTGAAAGACAAGTGTTACAATGCGACCTATTGTAAGCGTAGCCACGAGTGTCCGCAAGATAGGAGTATTACAATAAAGCATTGTAACACGCGTTTTTCATACTATTTTTTCTATTTCGGTGCTTTAATTTAATTAAAAAGATCATTATCAGAAACTATAGGGAACATTAGAACTAACATGTTTTATGTTGGGAACACTTTTTATGCCGTTAAGTTTTAGGTTGGCAGCGTAGTAAGACTGACATTTTGAAGTTCAAACATGGAAGTACCCAACGGAGTACCTACTTGTACTAACTAGTAACTGCCAACTTAAGAGATGAGTTTCCAAAAAAAAAAACGACTATAATCACTGTCTTTGTACAACTGTTTTCGGCCGAAAACAGTTGTACAAAATCATCATTGTGACACCGAAATAGAAAAAAATGATTTTATTATTAAAAATTGGTAACACAATCCATTCAAAAGAATAATTGTTCTAAATTGATTAACTTATCCCGACAAGGTATAATATTCACTCGTCATCGGTGTCGGATTCCTCAATATCATCATCGGTCTCTTCTGTTTCGTTCCCATTGCCCTCGTCACTACTCAAATCGATTTGATCTTCATTCTCTTGCTCAATGCGATCCAGAATGATATATCCGATAGTAGTGGGCATGACATCGCCGTCGAACAAATTAAATTCATAATTATCTGGGTCCGTTAACTTCCATCTGTAATTTTTAGGACTATATTATGTTGGGTATTTCAGATGCGCAGTGCCAACTTTCTTAATTATGTAAGCATTTAAATGAAATTTGATACATAATATATGCGCTTGGAATAAAAGCAAATGTAACAACAGCCAACAGGTGCAAAATTTGGTTTTGAACATGCTATAGCCATTCATACCCAGGAGCTCGTTTGCTATATTTGTTTAAACGTTTATTATTATTAGTGTTACTTTAATTTGTATAATATTCAAATTTTCATCGTTTCTTAATTCGAAATAAATACAACTGCCCTGACAATTTTATCAAAATTGATCAAAGTATACTGGGAATGCAATGCAGAACACAACGACCCCGTCCGACTCTACAACTTGACTAAGAGGTTCGAGTGGAGCGGAGAATATTAAGCCACCTAACATCTCGTGATAACACAAGATTGGCCCGGGATTCGTGTTTGAAACTTGATATTTACTTTTATTACACCTCAAACTGTCACGAAAAATTGGTGCCATACTGTAGCAAATCGCCGAAATTTTCCGAAAATTCTTACATTTTTGAAAAAATATTACACATAATTGGCCCATGCCACAGGTATGGCGTATCGAAATTTCTATTTCTGACTATAAAAATAACTGGTGGAAAGAATTATAGGGTGTATCAAATCGCCCAAAATTATTAACAAAAATGATATCTTTGTGCCGGTATGGCGGCTATGCGGGCCCGTCGCTGAGGTATGGCAGGTTGATTTTGGTGAATGACTGATTGAAGACTTGATGCTCATAAAAAAATGAGCTTGTAGCAAATCACCCAAAAAAAAACAAACAATCGACACATTCCAATGAGTATGGCGGGCTATAAGACCCACCGGAAAAGTATGGCATTTCGTTTCCGACATTTGCTAAGTCACCGACTACCAGAAAATCCAAAGAATTTTGTGTAGCAAATTGTCCAAAATCATTAAACTTTCCATGTTTCAACAATCGTCACTCAATAACGGCCCCACTCCCAGAGAGTTAGCACCATTTTCGTTTCGAGGAGTACTTAATTAAACCTTTGAATGGTCGCCATACTTGTAGCAAATCACACCACAAAAAGTGTCACCATCTCCCGGTCTATCTACATCATCCTTAGAAGTTGCACGTTACATTTGCTTTTGACTAAACCTAATTTTTCCATAAATAAAAAAATCTGAAAATCACCACGTTAGTATAACACACTCGGGGATGGTGCCATGATGTCGCTGATCCAACATCATGTAGCCCCATCTCTAAAGTTGTTAATTACATGGTCCTGGTAGGTACATGTACACTTCACGTTTTTCTACAAGTGTTTCTACGGACCCGCATATGCTACCAGTTAGCCAGTCAGCCGGCCAAAGTGCGATATTAAAAGCTACCTTTTTAAAAATAAATTTGCAAAAATGCACTAAAAAGTTATCGAAACGGTTTTCCACTTGCCCACGAAAAAACTAGTGTGTCATTCCAAGTTATTTTTTTGGTATGATCGTTCGTTGCCACCTGTTTTAGGGGATCCGCTGATTTATGTTCTTCCCGTCCGTCTGTCTTTACGCTGTACACCTTAATTTATCTACATGCACCCACTTCCTGTTTTTGCTACGGACTATGAAATTATTTTTTCAAAAGTCACCAATTCGTGTTAAGCCTTCAGAGGCATTCAAAATGTGGCTCCACAAATTTTTGTATGGTTCCGCTTTCTACAGTAAAAAAAAGTTTTAGCATTATCATAACTGCGAAATGAGACATGAATTTCTCGGCACCTTGTATAATTTTTTTAACATTTGCTATAGTTCGGTGAAATTAAACATCGATTACTGCCTGCGATCAGGTATTTTTAATAAATTGTTTGCAATGTAAAGACAATGTTAAGAGTCTTCTTTACCTAAGCGCAACTTTTTTACATTATAGTATATAGATGATTATAGTTGCAAGATACAAGATGATATTTTTGCTTTGTCAACTCCTGTCTTGGTCCTTAGTTAGTTCCCACCGAGACTGTGCAGCGGCGCCACTTGTTACACTCAAATTGTTGATTTAACGCCCGCCAAGATACAGACTTTATTTACAAAAATTATGATTTCATTTTTTGGAGTCATATTTAGAAGTAACTTATCTAAAAAACTGTCGGTTTACTTTTTCCATAAATCGTCTTGATCGAGAGTAAAAAAATAAAACAGATTAGCACAATAATCGGTGCGAAACATCTAATTTTTAAACAATCTGTATTCAGTTGCTATAAACTTAAAAAAAAAATAGTCCGAACATTTTGTAGATAAAGGTCTAAATTTATAAAATAGTTCTTAAAAAAAATTGTTTTTGTAAAAACAAATAGAGTTTTTATGGCGGGCGCTCTTATGGAAATTTACATTGGGTGCAGTGGGTACAGAAGACTCTTAACTACAAGTTCGACTTAGACAGACGCCCATGTCGTTCTCAAAAACTGTTTCAGTTTAAATCATTAGCTAAATTTGCAACAATTTGAAGTGTTTCAAAGTAGGAAAGTACGCCCCCCCCCCCATTCAAAAGTACTGTTTTAAAGGGTAGGTAAGAAACACGAAATTTTGAATTAATGATCTCGATGAATTAATTCTATGGGCCTTAATCAAGACCATTTAAAACTCCTTGGGGAGCATTCTTTTGGCTAGCCAACATTTTCGAACACACGGATCAAATCTGAGAAAATCACAGTCAAGAAACATACTAAACCTCTTCCTACCGCTGAGGCACAATAATTCTTATTCACATACCCTGTCAATTCTGAAATTGCTTTAGTAGCAATCATACCAAGAAGGCCCCTTTATTTCGACTCAAAAACCCCAAATACGCTATATTTCAAGCTCATACCTCATCAATTACTAATTAAAGATTCTGGCAATACAAGAACAAATTCAAAAAATATATGACGCCCCCGATGGCTCAACGCACAAGCTGATAATAAAATCGTAAGTAATTGAATTTCAAAGTTCCTTGCTGCGAGTTTTGAAATATAACTACGTACCTACACAGATCTAGAATTTACCGTAAATTGTATGAACACCCTGTACTAATCTTCAACCTCTAACTAACAAATAACACCCCTAACTAAACCCTCATCAGTTCCTTTTTTATCTCGTTTTTTTCCATCATTATTTATAGTCGTTCAGTTAATAATTAATTCTGGTTATAAATGGCATTAACAGCAAATAAACCGATTCTACTTGTGGGTCTACTTAGGTTTCTCTAAATTTTTATTAGAACAGAATTTATAGGGAGGTTTTTGTTTAAGAATCATCACCCGTAATCTACCGATATCGTTACCATAGTCAGAGTGTTGTGCAAAATGCCAGTAAGTACACGTGAAATATCTGACAATTTGGACAATGTTGGAGTAAATTAGAGTCACAATTACCATAATGAAAAGTACAAGGAAAACGTTTTAGGAATTTGCACACAATTACAATTCAGTAGAAAGTTGAAATTACGGTGGAAAGGTCTAATAGAAAAAGTGCATCTAATACCTGAAGATTTA